CATCTGATTGTCAAGGATGGAATAAGCAATTCTGGCATTCTCTTCCCAGTCTGCATCATCTGCTCTTAATGAAAACACCAAGGATCCTCTGTTGTTATTCTCAACACAGTAGAATGTATAATGGGATTTCTCAAATACTGGTGGGTTATCATTTGCATCTAAAATACGTAGTGGAATTACCGTAGATGTAGAAAGAGGAGGGATTCCATGGTCAGTAACTGTGATGGTGATATTGAAAGATGACACTCGTTCCCTGTCAAGGACACCCTCAGTTTCCAGACTGTAAAAGTTATCAACAGACTTCTTTAGCTGGAAGGGGATGTTGTTGGGGACTGAGCATGTCATTTCTCCATTGATTCCTGAATCTCGATCTTGTACATTCAAAATGGCAATGACAGTTCTGGGGGGTGAATTTTCTAGCAAAGTGTGGGTGACAAAGCTAACTGCCAATTCAGGTGCATTATCATTCATGTCTGTAACAGAGAAAACAATCTTTGATCTGTCACTCAGTCCTCCTCCATCTTTTGCTTGTATTTCAAATTCATAGAAAGATGATTCCTCATAATCAAGGTTGCCTAGAAGAGTAATTTCACCTGTTGTGGAATTAATCCAAAAAATTGGAAGGTTAAGTTTTGTAGTTGGTGTAAGGGAATATTTTATCTCCCCATATATCCCATCATCAGGATCAGTGGCACTTATAGTAGCTACATGGGATCCTATAGGAATATTCTCTTCAACACCCAATTCATAAAATGCTTGACTGAAAACCGGCGCGTTGTCGTTTGCATCCAGAACTTTCACTTTGACTTCCATAGTGCCGGATCTGATTGGGTCACCTCCATCACTAGCTGTGAGGATGAGATTGTAAGCTGATTGCTTCTCCCTGTCAAGAGGTTCTGCCACGACCAGTTTAATGTGTTTGACACTATTTTCCCCTACGTGAACATCCAGGAAAAAATGGTCACTGCCAGTAAGTTTGTAGTCCTGTACAGAATTTAGTCCCAAATCTGGATCCCAGGCTTCAGGCAATGGGACCCGGAATCCTGGTGCAGAAGCCTCATTGATCTCTAGTTCCTGTTCCTCAACTGGGAAGTGGGGAGCATTATCATTTATGTCTGTAATTTCCACTTCAATACCATAAAGCTTCAGTTTACTTTCACTGAGAACCTGGAACTTTAAGATGCATTTTTCTGCTCTTCCACAGATTTCCTCCCTGTCAATTCTCTCAGAGGTTTGCAAATGTCCACTGTTGACATTCAAGGTAAAATACTGACTCTTACCTGCGTTGGGAATAATGCGGAGCCCCTGGTCTGAAAACTGCTGCCTGTCCATTCCCAGGTCTTTAGCAATATTCCCCACAAAGGAGCCCTTGTGCATCTCTTCAGGAATGGAATAGTGGATCTGCCCAGTAACAGCCTTCCAGACAAACATCATGATAAGACATTGTAGGATTCCTATTTTGCAGGTCCATCGCTTCTGTGTTTCTTCCATTCTCTTACAGCAGGACAAAGGCTCCTAGTTCCGGTTCCAAAGGTATTGTATCCCCTGTAGAATTTTACACAAATCGTGCTCCAATTTCATCCATTTGTTGGTCAGCCAGGCTGTTCTATGAGTAATTTCATCCTTGTGGAAGGTTCTCTGAATTGGCTGCATGTTCTGTTCTCTTCCTGTTGGTGAACAGTGACACCCAGAGGCTCTACCCCAAAGTGCAGTATTCGACATAATCAACCATTATTCCATTTAGTATTATGTTCTTGCTACCAAAAGCATATCCATTTATAAGAAACGTTTTGTAAAATGATAAATGTAGACACAAAGCTCCTGTGTATTTTATATGTTTGATGCTTTTGATCAGAATTCATTATCTAAAGCTATAAAAGAGCCTGACTAATTTTGTTACTTTTTAAATCAACCGGAAGGAAACAGAGAACACAAATGTATGATGTTTGCTGTCTCTCCACATTATTGGATTGCCCAGAATACATCTTCTGGACCGTCCCCAGCTGTATTTTTCACTGGCTTTTCTAAAGCAGTATTCAAAACAATTATTTTGGAGAGTAAACTAAAAAGGACAAGAAACTAATGTTGCCTGAATTGTTTATACCAGGATGATGGCAACTTTCACAGTTCTTCAGAAACAACGAAGACAAAGACAAGCTTTCATATTAATAGATATGGATGCCTTTATTGACATAAAATGTGTAATTAAGTCTCCATGACATGTGTTTGTGTGTGTGTGTGTGTGTGTGTGTTCTTCTCCTTCATTCTCCCAAGATTCCAACCATTCATGTTAACTTGCCCAGATTTTCATTCATCTCCATCACACTTTGATTTTTGTTATTCCCTTTCTCATATGTCCAGACCTATGGCTCTCTCATGCCATGTCTTCCCTTCCCGCCTCTGCATTTCTGCATAACGTTCTCCTCCATTTCTCTTTTTTCAATCAACCTACTTATCCTATTCTATTTCTCTTTCTTGCCTGGTTCTGTTGCTTGACACATCCCTAGGTTTCTCCAGCTTCAAATACTTTTTTTTCCAAGGGCCCTTATCCAACTCATTTTTTTTTAAAAAAACACCACATACCCCAATTAAATTAAAGTGAGTTAAAGAATATTTAAAAATGGCAGTTACCAACTTTGCCAGCTAGCATAGCCATATATGTTGAAAAATATTTGATATTTACATTTCTCCATTAGACTATCAAAACACATATCATTACAATAACTGAAACTTTATAATAACAGAATATTTGAAATGATCTTTATATTTCAATTGCATTTCACAATTCCACCCCCCCAAGAGAAAATGAAAGGAACAAAAAAGGAGAGGAGGAGGAGCCTCCCAACACTTTGGGCAGGAAGTATCCTCTGCACAACACCTCTGCACTCTATCATACATGTTTTTACCATTATTTTCAAAGTGGCTTGTTGTCTTCTCATTATTTTGAGCCAGTCAGATAATTAGTAAAATGGCTCCACTTACAGAAGTATGTTATTAATATGTTATGTTGACCTTACTAGCAGGCAAAAAATAAAAAATAAAAAGGGGAGCAAAAAAATAAAATAAACAAAAAGCCTCCACCAGGAAATACAACCCAGTTTCCTGTTCTGACCCAAAAAAATAAAATAAACAAAAAGCCTCCATGAGGAAATACAACCCAGTTTCCTGTTCTGGCTAATTTTGGTATTGTACTGTAAAAATACTGAGAAAATGGATGAAGCAAAACTGAATTTCGCAGTCCATGATAAGAACAAACCTGCCAAACTGTTGTTTGTCAAATGTAGTTTAGCTACACTGTCATTAACCAAACGGCCACCAGTCACAAGTAAGAACACTATTACACTGTTGTAATTAATTACCAACAAAAGGATTGTTTGGATCTATATCAGTCATTTTCAACGGGGGACATATGGCCCCCTGGAGGGCCCTGCCACATTTCAAGGGGCAATAGGCTGGAAATAATTCTTCACCACCACTTTATGAGGTTCGTGATGTGTCTTATATAATGCCGATTTGGCCTGCATTTCTTTTACAGTCGTGCCCCGTTTAATGATTGCCTCGCTTAATGAGGAAATCACTTTACAATGAGGTTTAAACAATGGTCTAAATGGGGGAATTTCACTTAGTGATGATCGGTTCCCTGCTTTGGGAACTGATTTTCGCTTTATGATGATCAAA